ACAAGGAGGCCATGTCATTAGATTTTCTTCTTTTATACCCTTTCTTGCCAGCCACGCTGTGGAGTACTTGAACGCATGTGATGGAGCATTGTCCTGCATGAAAATCATGTTTTTCTTGAAGGATGCACTTCTTCCTGTACCACTGCTTGAAGAAGGTGTCTTCCAGGAACTGGCAGTAGGACTGGGAGTTGAGCTTGACTCCATCCTCAACCCACAAGCTCATCTTTGATGATACCAGCCCAAACCAGTACTCCACCTCCACCTTGCTGGCGCCTGAGTCGGACTGGAGCTCTCTGCCCTTTACCAATCCAGCCACGGGCCCATCCATCTGGCCCATCAAGACTCACTCTCATTTCATCAGTCCATAAAACCCTAGAAAAATCAGTCTTGAGATATTTCTTGGCCCAGTCTTGACGCTTCAGCTTGTGTGTCTTGTTCAGTGGTGGTCGTCTTTCAGCCTTTCTTACCTTGGCCATGTCTCTGAGTATTGCACACCTTGTGCTTTGGGCACTCCAGTGATGTTGCAGCTCTGAAATATGGCCAAACTGGTGGCAAGTGGCATCGTGGCAGCTGCACGCTTGACTTTTCTCAGTTCATGGGCAGTTATTTTGCGCCTTGGTTTTTCCACACGCTTCTTGAAACCCTGTTGACTATTTTGAATGAAACGCTTGATTGTTCGATGATCACGCTTCAGAAGCTTTGCAATTCTAAGAGTGCTGCATCCCTCTGCAAGATATCTCACTATTTTTGACTTTTCTGAGCCTTTCAAGTCCTTCTTTTGACCCATTTTGCCAAAGGAAAGGAAGTTGCCTAATAATTATGCACACCTGATATAGGGTGTTGATGTCATTAGACCACACCCCTTCTCATTACAGAGATGCACATCACCTAATATGCTTAATTGGTAGTAGGCTTTCGAGCCTATACAGCTTGGAGTAAGACAACATGCATAAAGAGGATGATGTGGTCAAAATACTCATTTGCCTAATAATTCTGCACTCCCTGTAGATGCAGAGAATACCTTTGTGAGAATTAGAATTTGGATCTTTCATCTAAACACATGGGCCTCTTGAAAATATAATTGAATGGATTAAAGCGCCATAGACCCCATATAATGTATTTAAACATTGAAAAAACTAAAGTGCTCTGTGCAAAAAGGCTCTTATTATAAAGTGTTACAAAAGATATGGCCGCAGCTACTACACAAGTGTAAGTTTTTTTTTAAACTTGAAAAACAATCATGCAAAAATAAATCATAAACTTAGTAACACCGCCACTACCGGTAAACCCAGTGTAACGCTTAAAACATGCACACATATATAATATATATAAATATATATGTAATATTATTTATTCCTGGCCATACCCATGGCAGCATAACAATGGGCAGCTCCTTCCTATCCCTAATTAGACAGGAACCTAATTAAAACAGAAGGTATAATTAACCCCTCCTACCCACACTCTTTTTGTTCCTGTCCTATCCCTAGGACAGACTTAGTCATTTCAGGACTAAAAACTTGTTCTTTTATGGCTTACCTGAGGATTGGTTCCTCTGGCCCCTTGGGAAGTCTCCAATACACGACCCTGCGCAAAGGTGACCCCCTGGAGAAACCCATTTAGTGACCGGGGGTTCTAACTTGCTGTGACCCAATAGGTGTAGCAAGATCATGCCATCACCATAATTACTGCAGTGACCCAGGGGGTAGCAGACTGGGCATTCACATACAATGCATATGGATTTACTTGCTGTGACCTTAGGGGTAGCAAGAATATGCATGACCAAGGGGTAACAGACTCGACATGCACATACAGAGCATATGGATTGCGAGGATTAATATGACATTGACTAACATAGCTCCGTTGCTGAAAGAGTTAATGTGAGACTGACTAGCATTCCAACACTGAAAGGGTTAACGTACAACTCTATCTTGTACTTTCCCATGGATTTACTTGCTGTGATCCTATGGGTAGCAAGATTATACCATCAGCATATTTCCTGCAGTGACCAAGAAGTAACAGGCTGTGCATGCACATTCAGAGCATTTATATGGATCTAACCCCTTCTACCCTTAATCAATTTCATCTGAACGTTAAGCGATTCCTACTAATATTAATTTCAATCAAACTTATTCCTAGGCTTCTGTTATGCCTTTTAATTTAGCCACTGGGTTCACTCATTCCTAGGCCGGTGTTATGACTTTTAATAGAGCTGCTGGATTCTTTTATGACTAGGCTTCTGTGTCTTTTAATACAGCCACTGGGTTCAATTATTCCTAGGCGTTTGTTATGTCTCTTAATATAGCAGCTGGATTTTCTTTTTCCTATTTTTACATTTCTGCAGGGTTTGTATTTATTATATACCGTTTTTCTCGCAATTAAATCGTCTTTCTAAAGATACCATTTTTTTCATTATGTCTTAATTTACTATAAAATAAAATGACAAAATGTAAAAAAAAAAAAATCCAACTTTGACCCCCAAAATCTTACGCATCTACCATCGCCAAAAAACACCCAGTTTCTAAATTTCATCCTGAGTTTTAGAAATACCCAATGTTAAAATGTTCTTAGCTTTTTTTTTTGCAAGTTGTAGGGCAATAAGTACAAGTGTAGCACTTTGCTATTTCCAGACCATTTTTTTTTTCTTCAAAATTAACACAGGTTACATTTTAACACTATTGGTTAGGAATCCTTGAATAACCCTTCACATGTATATATTTTTAAAGGGTTAATTCTCCAGAGTTCAGTGATACCACCCATGTATAGGTGTGTCTCGTTTTCAGGGGGCTAAAAGACCGTATTTGGAGGGTTTGCGTTCCAGTTTTCCAACTTGGAATTTTCACAGCTGGTCATCATGCACCCATGTTCTATTTGGGACATTTTTGAAGCCGACCAATGTAATTTACCCCCATCAAACCATATACTTTTGAAAAGAAAACACCCTAGGGTATTTCAATGGTGGTATTTTAACACTTACCATGCACTAATTCTACCACCAGTCTTTGTCAAACTTTTGGGTAGTCATTTTTTGTTATTTTTCTCTCACATTGTACTTTAGGCATGGATTCTCAGTTCCTGATATGTTACTGACAAAGAACACCCCAATATGTGTTCTGTAACATCTCCTGAGTACAACAGTGCAGGTTTTATGGGTTTCTGCAAACTTGCAGGTGTCAAATGTAGGGCTTTTCCATGTTTGCACATTGAAATTTGCCAGATTGGTTTGCTGGGCCAATGTTGCCTTTGAGACCGTATAGTAGCCCAAAAATGAAAATTAACCCCATCATGACATACCATTTGTAAAAGTAGACAACCCATGGTATTCAAAATAGGGTCTGTCCAGTCCTTTTAATAGCCACTTAGTCACAAACCCTGGCCAAAATTATAATTTACATTTGTTTTTTTGCATTTCTCGCACATGAACTGACATTTTACCAATGATATTATCAGTAGTATAATACATTTTACTGCTATAAAACACTCATATTTGTGTAGAGTAATGTCTCACAATTACAACAGTACCCTAAGTACAGGTTTTATTGTGATTTGGAAGGTTACAGGGTCAAACATAATATTTGCCAATTTCTGTTTTTGTAAATTGCTATTTGCCAGATTACCTTTGAGATGGTATGGCAGCCCACAAATGAAAATGAAACCCACCATGACATACCATTTGAAAACGTAGATAATCCAGGGTATTCAAAATGGGGTATGTCCAGTATTTTGTAGTAGCCACTTAACCACAAACGCTTGCCAAAGTTAGCGTTCATATTTTTTTTTTCACTTTTACTGGTAATTTCATCGTCGTGATACGTTTTACTGTTTTAAACACTCATATTTGTGTTGAACATAGTCTCCCAAGTATAACAATACCCCCATGTACAGGTTTTATGGTGTTTAGGAAAGTTACAGGGTCAATATAGAGCTTGCCAGATTGGTTTGCTGGGTCTGTGTTGCTTTTTGAGGACACATGGTAGCCCAGGTATGTGAAATAACCCCATCATGGCATACCATGGCATTTTCAAATGTAGACAACCCAGGGTATTCAAAATGGGGTATTTCCAGTCTTTTGTAGTAGCCACTTAGTCACAAACGCTGGCCGAGATTAGCGGGGGAGGGGGGTAATTAAAGGTACACTGTAGTGTCAGGAATAGTCCTTAGGTCCCCCTCCCGCTGGGCTGAAGGGGTTTAAAACCCCTTCAGCCACTTACATTTATCCAGCGCCGGGCTCCCTCGCTGCTGGTGACCTCTCCTCCCCCTCAGATGTCAGCTCCCAAGGGGAGCCGCATGCGCAGCCAGAGCCGCGCGCATTAAAAACACCCATAGGAATGCATTTCTCAATGCTTTCCTAAGGACGTTCTGCCTGCTCAATGTGATATTAGCACGGAGCGTTGCAGAAGTGCCTCTAGCAGCACTTCTGATCTTATGAGCTTAACCCACTTACTTTAGGGAAAAAGTTCATCTGGGGCTCTCTGCAATACAAGGCTAAATAGGGCCCTGGGATGGGGCACCTGTGCCAGGGAGGGGTGCAAAACCAAGCAGTTGGCTAGACTCCCAAATATATATATATATATGTGTGTGTGAAACCAGGGGGCTGCACTCACCTGAACCCCCGGTCCAGTTCAACTCTCCTCTTTTGGAAGGTTTCGATATTGAAAGAAGGGCTTAAATACAAACGTTTTTCAGGTGCAGCAATTAGTACCCTTCTGAAGATCAGGGAAAATGTATATCCTCGGCTATCTTTACAGAGTTGGGATGCCTTTTTTCTGGTCTTTTTCTAATTAGGTAATCGTTCAAATTCTTTCTACCAAGGAGGTTCTAAGTTCTCCAATCCAGGACTTGTCTATGACTTGGCCACATCA